GGCAAACTTATGCTGGAAACGTCGGTAGTAACTAGCCATACCAAGAAAACTGCATAACTCGGCCACTGTAGTCGGTGTAGGCCAGTTTTCCACCACAGCCACCTTCCTTGGATCCGTCTTGACACCCTTAGATGTCACAATATGGCCTAGATATTCCACCTTCAACTTTGCAAATTCATATTTGCTCTTCTTCGTATAAAGTTTGCTGTCTCGGAGTAACAAAAGAACCTTGCTCAAATGCACCTTATGCTCCTCCATATTCTTGCTAAAACAAGAGTATTGTCCAAGAAAATCTCCACAAACTCATGAAGATAACGCCCAAATACCTCCGTCATCAATCGAGTAAATGTGGCCAGTGCATTCATTAAACCAAACAGCATAACTGTAAACTCAAAATGTCCGAAGTTTGTGTTGAATGCCGTCTTGGAGATAGATGCATCATCCATTGCAATCTGATAATATCCACTCCTCAGATTAATCTTGGTAAACACTCGTGCTTCACCAAGCTTGTCTAGGATATCATCCACACGTGGCATTGGCATCTTATCCTTTATTGTCTTCTTGTTCAAAGCGTGGTAGTTAATACACATTAGCATTGAATTGTCCTTCTTCTTCACAAACAAGACCGGAGCACCAAACGGGGACTTACTTGGCTGAATAAATCCAAACCCAAGTAATTCCTTGAGTTGTTGTTGAACTTCTTGCTCCTCTGCATAACTTAACCGAAATGAACGCCGGTAAATTGGCCACGTCCCCGGCTCCAATGTAATCCCATGCTCCACACCTTGTAACGGAGGCAACCCATGGGGAAGTTCAAATGGAAAAACATCAAAAAACTCATCAAGTACGTCCCATATTGCTGCTTCTTCCCCACATGTGCCTTAGGCCCCCAAGTCACGAACAAACAATAAGTAACTCGAAAGTGCTTTTCATTATGACAAACCTGCTTCAAAGATGTAGTAGAGAGTATAACAACTGATGGTTGAACGCCCTCGCCAAACCACACATCTTTAACGCCACCATACTTCAGCAAGATACACTTAATGCTCCACTTTATCTCTGGATCCACCTTCACCAACCATGGCATCCCAAGAATGAGATCCACACGATGGATATCCGCGAAATAAAAAGTCTCCACAAGTGTGATTTTGCCAACCAACACTTCCAACCCCTCGACACAAACATCAAAATGTTGAGCAGAGGTAGCTGCACCTTCCACTGCGTATGGAAGAACTCCACATGTGACCAGGCCATGCTCCGCAACAAACTTTGCCGAAACAAAGTTGTCATCGCTCCCACTATCCAGTAAAATTCACACTGGATCGCCATGGAACACGCCCTCCAGCATTAAAGCTGATTCACGCATATCCTCGAGCTCCATCTTGTTCCACACACAGTTGAGCTGATGAGCAACAATCGAAAGTCTCTTCCTCTAACCGGAATGGTCATTCTCGTCATCCTCACGCTGCAAAGTTTGTAACTTTTTAGTATCTAACTTATGGTGAGAAGAAGATTGGGCATTCTTCTTGTCCTATTGCTTGTTCTTCAACTGTGGACAATCAGCCTTGTAGTGTCCAAGTTCGCCGCAATGATGACAACCCTGTCTATAATTCTTCACAAAGAACTTCTGCTTCTTGGACCCCTTTGCATCCGAAGTAGTCACCACTGACTTCAACTTGTGATACTTGTTCCTATCCTCGTGTCCATGGCGATCATCACGATGATTCTCGATAGAAGGACTCCACGAACGCTTGCAAGACTTGTGCTTGTAATTGTCAAGTCGACGAGCCCCATCAAAGAGCTCCTCCAAACTCTTTGTAGGCTGAAAATGATGCAAGTGTTGCCACATGTTCTCACTATATAGGCCATCAATGAAGTAAGACTTGTTTTGATCTGGATCCTTCGTTGGAATATGACTAATCAAGCAAGTAAGCTTCTCAATATAGTCCCCAAGTGTCATTTTCCCTTGCTGGAAATGTTAAAGTTCTGTACGAGCATTCTCCATGTTGTAATGAGAGGCAAAACGTAAATGGAAAGCAACCTCAAACTCATCCATAGTAGACACTGGTGGTTTCTTATCTGCAACACGAGACTCCTCAAGCCAATTCCACCATCGAAGACCCACATCACGCAAAACCATTGGAATAGCCACTAAAGCCTCTACATCTGGAGTTCCCCTAGCAGCCAAGAACTTATTCACATTGGCTAGCCAAGCCAGACACTCGTCCACACCACCATCACCAGAAAAGGTTGGAATCTTGAGTCGATCTACCAAAGAAGGCTTACTTGGAGTGCTACCCCGTCCAACCTCGAGTGCCTCAACACGCCCACGCATGGTATCCATCATGCCATGCATCTCATCTTGCATCTCTTGCTGATTTCAATTAAGGGCTCACAGCTCGTGAACCACATCTTGAATGGTCCAAATCTCTGCAGCTTCGTCGGCACCACCATCGACAATAGGATTCTAGCATTCAGCTTGGTCGACCATTGCAACCAACTTCTCTGATACCAATGTTATGATCCAGCACAAAAAGACAAAAATCTAATCACCCTAGACTATGTTACGCCACCTCTTGAGGTTCCTCACCCTAACATGCTTTAATATATCCTTAAGCCTCCCTTTGACCAACGTTGACCACGTGGTCAAAGTTGGCGCCTAACAATTTAGCACTACCTTTTCTGCCTCTAGATCATATCCTTGATGCTTTCCAAGGGGAACTTCATTCTTATGACTTTCCTCCTTGTTAGTAGCTCAAGGTCCCAACCAATAGATTTGCCATATTGGCACTCCAACTGGATCCACTATTGTTGCTGTCTCCAACACCATCCCCACTTGATGCATCATCCTTGTTATCCTACTAAATTCCCTTCATTGTCACCATCCTCACCTCCAGCTACACTATTATATGTGCCCTAATTGTCCCTTATGACTTCAGTCAAGGAAAACTGTTTCAATGGTTAAAGATCTTGTGTTGTATATGTCCTAGACTCATTAAAGATGACAACTAATGATCATCTTTGAACCTTGTGGTTCCTGAACACCACTTGCAAAGACTCACATCCAGTTTAATGCCATACCAAACTTTATATGGTGTTCTCCTTGACATGAGGTAAGTTGGCTAAATTGCTATTGGCTTTGTATAAAAAATTCCAAGGCAAACTTAAGTCTTGTTAGTGAGCTTTTGTTGCCTCCTAGAGTGTGATGGCTTACACTTGCTAATATTGGGAACTTTTATAATGTCAAGCTTGGTCCCTCCATATTTGCTAAGTGATAGTTTACTGTGTTTATCAAGATACTCTTGATATCATTCTTTATGTGTTGGTCTCATTTGGTCCTATTGGATATTTATGAACAGAGATTAGATTTGTTAAGTGGGCATATTTACAGATTTAAAAATTAACTTAAACATAATAGTGTTGTTCCCATATCCAAATTCACATTCTAACATCATTTTATATTTAATAGATTTTTGTGATTGTCCTAGAGAGAAACTCCTAAGACTGGGTGAAAGCCCAAAATGTGTTTTCATATAAGGTAAGAGGAGGAGATTAATTCTAGGAAATAAAAAGATTTTCTTAAAGGACAAATGTTTGCACAAAGTGGAAGGAGTTAACATGATTAACATGAACTTAATCTATGTAAAAAGTTATTTGAGGTGTATCATTATTGCAAATGTTATTGTAGGTATCAAAATCTATCTATCAATCTTTCTAGATATTTTTCTTTTATTACCATGATAGTAGGAAGTTAATATTGCTAGAGTTTCCACCCAAACTAGTTAAGAGACTAGTCAGTATACAATAATTTAGAAGGGCACAAAAGAATGATATCTTAAATTATCATTTAATAAAGCATATTTAATATGAAATTTATATAATTAAATTACATTTACTAGTATTAGGAACCCCTTTGATATTAAGCTTAGCCTTTCAGTATTCATTATGTGATAATTTATTATATTTGCCAAGATACATTTGGTCAATTTTAGGCTTATTAGCTATTTAAGGAAAGTGTTTAGATTTGTTAATAGAAATTATTTTAAACATATGATCACATCTAAATTTATAATCTAGCACCATTTTATAGTTAATTAATTTTCAAACTTATCCTAGAAAATAAGTGACAGCAAATTTAGTACTACCATATATATGGTCAAACGAAATCTACTTTACCTTTTTACATTAGGTTCATAATTCTTACACCTGGGCGAGATTAGGGTTTAGGCAGCAATGCTGGATGAATGGACGTCGTCTTCGCCCGCTCAATCGGGGCTCAACGAGGTGAGATTGAGCTGAATCGTCGATCGCTGATCCAATTCCTCGCAGGATTTCCAGGCGATTTCACTGTCGAGGCCAGAGAGCAAGATCTTCAGCTTGGATGTGCTGGAGCAAAACGCCGCCAAAGGTCACGGGCTTGTCACCTCAGTAGCCGCTGGAAACAATGTCCTGCTCGTCAGTACTAGCAGCAGCTGGATTGTTCATCACGAATTTGGAGGCGGGGATAACTCAGGTGAGTCTCCAAAAGAATAAAGAAAAATTCACGCTCGCTTTCTTTGTTTCTTCTGAAAACTGTGAGCTTTTCTCCCGTGATCCGATAGAGTTGGCGTTGAGCCGCGGAGCCGATCAATACGTTTGTAAGGTTTTCCTGGATCCCAGTGGAAGGCACTGTCTAGCAAATCTCCGGAGCAGCAGTGGTGACCTTGCTCGAGTTTGTGTTCGTGGATCTTGTGCCAACCTTGTCCGCGATTCGAATCGCCTCGAGCAAAGTCGCTGCTGCCATGCTCGTCGGTGATCACCAGTAGCGCCGCTCCATTGCTTTGCAGCGTGGGAAAAGTCTACCGTGGACTTTTCTTTTGTGGGAATTATACTTTAATCAGCCATAAGAAATGGCTTTTAATCAGCCATAAGAAATGGCCTCGATTCTAGTTCGATTCTAGTTCCTTTTGTGTTCTTGCCTCTACATCCACGATCTCCAATCCCTTCCTCTACGCCAAGAAGAGACCCAAGGATCTGCCGATGTACTCAGCATTGTTCGCACCTATGGCCCGATTGGATCGCGTGATCTCTGGTCCGAGCACGCCGAGAAGGAAGGGACCAAAGAGCAAGACAAGGCGCTTGCTGGTGTGGCTCCAGCAAATTCCTCGTCCTTGCACGGCGAGAGCACCGGCTCCAAGAATCCGGGCAAGCGCAACAAAGCGGGAGGCGGTGGTGGTGGTCATGCGGACGATCGGATTTTCAGGTGGGTTGCTGTACCCAAAAGCGCTTGAAGAGATTGAAGGCCAAGCTGGGCGATGCTTACGTTCGTCCAGCCAAGGTCATGAAGCAGCGGCTAGCTGCCGGGATCGTCTACAAGCCTATGGGGATCCGAGAAGCTGAAAGTGGCAAAGTCGTTCTTTGAGCGGAGAGCAATGATCCTCGATGCTGTGGCGACGAGAATTACTGGTGTCTACGCTGCTGCGGAAGCTGCCAAGGCTGCTTGCTACTGCTGCTGCTAGATCGAAAAGGTTGGGATCTTCACCGTCTACTCAAGAATGGTGAGAGCTTTGTTCTTGGATATTTGTCGCAGGATGAAACGATGATAGGCGTTCACTCAAAGTTCAGAACGGGAATTGGCAAGTTCTTTATGGTTCTTTCGTGAAGCATGGTTGATGCTTTTGGCAGGCAGGAAATTAGAACATCGAAATACTCCGAAACTACCGGTGTTCCGCTGGAAAGTATCCTCCGAGGAGTCCCATGTGTTGAACTTTGTTGTCAACTGCAACGCGGATACGCTGCGACGACAAACGATTTGAATCAAACGAATAACACGAAGAGCTTCATACGAACCTGGAGACCCACGTTGGTGCCGCCCAGCATGTTCGCCAGCTTCATCCCCAGCTCGCTCTTTGGCGGTGTTATAGCCATCATGCCGTGGAGGTTCTGTGAAAGCTGCTCCAGGATCCTCAGCATCCGAGGTGATGACCATGCCTGTCCATTGACGTCCTTGAACAGCAAGATGCCAATCTCGTCGATCCAGAGCAACCTGCGAGCAGTGTCTTCCTTGAAGTTGGTGTTGATTTGCTCGGCCAGTTCCATGAGCATTGATTCACTGAAGACGAGCAGGACGGTATGCTCCACCTGAGCTGACAAAGCTTTGATGAGCAGCTGGAGGACGTGAATGGATTACCTTGGTGCAAAGCCACCAGACCGTGGAAGGATCGTTCAGGGACAGAGCTTTCTCGAAGGCGTTTTTGACGAGGCCGTTCTTCACCACTTCGAAGAGCTCGGTCCTGTTATCCGGTTTTGCTACTGGTGCGACGTGCTGAGGACGGTGTGGTACCGGCTGAAACTAAACGCAATGAGCACCGGAAGTTACTAAAAACAAAAGAGTTTACCTGTACAAGGGGAGATGGAGGATTTTTGGTCCAAAGCCCTTCAGTCGCTTGGACAAAAGAATCCAGGTTCACTCGAGTCCTGCTGTGCGACAAGGATGAGGAAGACGACGAGTACGAAGAAGAAGAAGACGACCCGGCTACTTCAACCAACTTGGCCCGTAACTCGTCGATGGACTCGATGCCAGTGATGATCCTGGTCTTGAGCTGCCTCAGCCGCTCGCAGATATCCGAGAAGGAAGGCCTCTCTTTCGCATCGTGGCTCCAGCATTCCCGCATGAGCTGCGACAGGAACTCCGGACAGGTGGCTGGTATCTCAGGACGCTCGCCTTGAAGGACTTGCTCCATGTCCATCCCGTCCTCGAACGGAACGTTTCCAGTGACAAGCTGGTAAATCAACATCCCGTAGCTGTAAACGTCGGCCTTTTTCGTGTAGCGCTCGCCGCTACACACTTCCGGTGCCATGAAGTTCCTGGTGCCTTGGATGCTAACGGCTTCGATCTGGGAGGAGATGAAGTTTGGCCTCGAGACTCCAAAGTCGGCAATCCTGATACTCACGAGATCGTTGTCTTCTTCGCCAACCAAGATGTTCTGCGGCTTGAGGTCCCGGTGGATTATATTCTTCGAGTGAAGCCACGCCATGCCAGTAGCAACTTGGAGCATCACTGCCATGATCGACAGCAACGGGAGAGACTTCTTCTTCTTGAGGACGTAGTTTTCCAGGTCCATGTCCATCTTCTCCATCACCAGCGAGTACCGCTGCTTCTCTTCATCGAAAGACTGGCTGGCGATGTGCAACACGTTGGGATGCTTGTCCGCTTGAAGAACCGCGAGCTCTTTGGCGAAGCTCTTGTCACCTTGAGGGAAGACTTTCACTGCAAACTTGTGACCGAGCCAGATTGCTTCGTACACGGTTCCGAAACCTCCTTGTCCCAGGTGTGTTGTCAGCTTGAGTTCTTTGTGGTTAATCACTGACTTGTTTCCCAGGAGCATGGAGCAGAGTATCTCTTTGGCTCGTTCGCTCTCGGTCGTCAGGCTTCCCGGCTCTTGGCTCATTGCGAGAGTCATGAGCTCCTTCTGATCGTTCCTTCCGGCTTCTTCCAGTATGCTGCTCGAGTTCTGCCTCATGAGGCACGAGTTGTAAGCCTGGGAAATCCTGGATCTGTGCGAGGTGGACGCTGCCAGCTGAAAGAGATAGACGCTGACGAGCTCGACGCAGTTGAAGATCTCGGGATAAATGCTCTGGAACTCATCGCAGCTTTCCTTGAACAGCAGGCTCCGGGCAATCCAATTGCCTTCTTGGCACGACTTGAGGAGATGGATGCCTCTCTTAAGGACAACCACGGTTTCGTCCCACACGAAGGCTGGCTCGTTGCTCGCGAAGTTGAGATCCTGGATTTGCCTGAGGTAGTCTCGGACATAGCCGACTGCCGCGATGAGGATCCTACATTGGTTTCTACAGACCTTGCTCGAAGTGGATATTGTGCCAACCTTGTCCGCGATTCGAATCGCCTCGAGCAAAGTCGCTGCTGCCATGCCCGTTGGTGATCACTACCAGCACCGCACCATTGCTTTGCTCGTGATCTTGGAAAGGTATAGCGTGGGAAAAGTCTACCGTGGACTTTTCTTTTTGAATAATTCTAAGTCCTAAGGCATAATGTTTTTTGTCTGGGAATTATACTTTAATCAGACAAGAAAACTCGTGTATGTTTCAGGCCCTTGATGACAGTACTCACCTCCAGTTATCCCGTTCTTGTCATCCTGGAGAAACAGGACGCGAGTGCAGTCGGACCAAGCAATGAATTGAATCCGGTAGACCTTTGGAAAATATAAAGGCTCTTCGTTTTTGTATCTGAAGACACATACATACCTTGAAATAAGGATTGTACGGTTTCCCAACTAATAATTGTCGTCCAAGCAACAATCAGTCAATGTTTATCTGAGTTAAGGGTCTAGAGGAAATATATATATATATATTTCCCCCCCTCCCTCACACGCACGCAGGCTGAGGTATATGTATGTCTCTAGATTTGGCAGAGTGTCACAAAGATTTAAAACAGCAGATACATACACAGTATTTACCTCCTGGTTTGATCAGCTGAGCAATCAGATTATTGGATCTGTGGATTGCTTCTCCAACAGGCTCTATCACCATGGCTGTTAGTTGTGTCTCTTCTTTTTTTGGTTTGCTTAAGCTGTATAGGGTGGTAGTGAATATACATAAATATGTTTGGATATTCTAGGATATTTTGCCAATGATTATTATTCATTTAGATTAATTTTGTATTTATAATTTATAAACATTTTTATAATAAATAAATTTTCATAAACACTTTCTAATATATTATTTTTTATTCTAATGGTTAATCTTGTGTTTAAAAATTATAAACATATTTATAATTATAAAGTTTTATTTGATCAATTGGATTAATAAGTAGAAATAACACTACTATTAAGCAAACCAGATATTGCTACATGCAACGCATAACAAATTATTTTATTTTGTCAATAAAAACCTAATAGTACCTAGCAGAGCCAACAAGCATTCCAGAATCTTGGCTTTGGTTTCAAAAATGAAACATGTAATTTTTATCCTTTCCAAAGATATATTGGATTAAGCTTTTTTCTTGGCTGTCTAAGAGGTGAGTGCTGATTCATTCTCTAGTCTTTCATGATGCCAAACTTTTTGCATGTGCGAGTGTAGTGTTTTGCTCCTGATTAGCAAAAGAAAAGTAGATTTCTTATTTATTCTCAATTAATAATGCTTAAATCTAGCAAATAAAATATCTCAAGAAGATGTTCACTGCTTCTTCTGTTGCTGGTCTACATAGCCCTCACCTTGGATATACAACATGGGTCTTATGAAATCTGGAGTGTTTGCCCAAATTGTAAGACTCTAAGGTCTTGGACACTAACCTGTCATGCAAGATCATCAAAAGTCTAGCATCTTTTGATTCACAAGCCATCACAAGGGCTGCAGTGACTATCTCACTGTTAGAGTTTCCCCAAGCTCAACAGGGCATCTTTCAAAGCCATGGACGAGCAGCTTATCCCCAAGATCCCTCCCGCACAGAGCTCTTGAGACAGTGCCAGAGTCAACTTGGTCTTGAGGGAAGTTGGAACATTCCCTTAATATTCCCACTTAAGCTAAGCTGTCTGCACCCCAAGAGCTTGTGTGTGTTGTGCAAATATTGCTTCATGAATATGTCCACCATTTTTGCTGGATTACTTTGTCTTGCTATGAATCCATGAACTCTTAGGCAACACAATGGTTCCTCGATTGCCATAATTAGGGAGAGTTGCCTCTCCCTGCTTGTAGCTCAAGCTATGGAGCAAAGTTTTGAGTCAGAGGATCTCCTTGATTGCTTGTGTCATCCCTAGGCTACCCCATATAACTATTGCATTGAAGACGTAGCTAGAAGTTGCTTATCAACTTCTCCTACTCAATCCACATTTGAGTATCCTAGCAGCTTGAGCTGAAATTGCTTGTCTTGTGTAACACAAAACAGAATTTGCTATTCCCTTCAAGGACATAACACCAGTTTGATATGGAAAGTCAGGATTTGCCAAGAATACTCCCTATGAAGTAGACTAGTCCACCCACCATCTATGTGTATGGAATCCTATCTATCACTACCTTTTCTGCCTCTATGCTTGGGATCATACCCTTGATGCTTTCTGGGAACTTCATTCTTATGACTTTCCTCCTTGCAACCAATGGATTTGCCATCTTGGGACCAACTGGATCCACTATTTCTGTTGTCTCCAACACCATCCCCACTTGATGCATCACCCTTGTTGTCCTGCTAAATTCCCTTGATTGTCACCATCCTCCAGCTCTATTGTGCAATATTACATGTGGCCTAATTGTCCTTTGTTGACTTCAGTTAGAGAAACTTTTTAAACTTATCCTTGTGTTTCCTGAACACTACTTGCAAAGACTCACATCCAGTTTAATGCCATACCAAACCTCATATGGTGTTCTCCTTGGCATGAATGAGGTGCTATGGTATTGGCTTTGCATAAAAAATTCTAAGGCGAACTTAAGTCTTGGTTATCATTTTCTATGTTTGGTCCTGTTTGGTCCTATTGGTTATTTATAAAAGGTGTTTAAATTTGTTAATTGGGCATATTTACAGATTTAAAAATTGTCTTGAACACAATAGTATTATTCTTACATCTAAATTCATAATCTAACATCATTCTATATTTAATGAGACAAACTCTTACAACTGGGGTGAAAGCCTAGAACATGCTTTCATATAAGGTAGGGGGAGGAGATTTGTTCTAGGAAATAAAAAGATTTTCCTAAAGGACAATTGTTTGCACAAGGTGGAGAGAGTTAACACAATTAACATCAAATTGAGCCATATAAAAAGTTATTTGAGATATGTTATTGTCACAAAACAAATGGGTATTGTGGGTATCAAAATTTATCTATTAATCTTTTTAGATAAATTTTTTTTACTAACATGATAGTAGGAAATTGGTATTGCTAGAGTTTCCATTCAAACTAGTTGAGAGACTAGTCAGTGGTACATAATCTAGAAGGGCACTAAAGAATGAAGTTGTAAATTGTCATCTAACAAAATATATTTGATATGGTATATTGTTAAATTAGTGTTAAAAACCATTTTCATATTGAGCTTAACCTTTCATTATTTATTATGTAATAGTTTATTATATTTATCAAGACACTTTTGTTGTAGTTTCCCATTTGGTCAAATTTTAAACTTATTAGCTATTTATGAAAAGTGTCTAAATTTGCCAATTATACAGAATATAAGAATTATCTTAAACATAATGATCACATCTAAATTTATAATCTAGCACCAATTTATATTTAATTAGTTTTCAAACTTATCCTAAAAACAAACTCTTAAATTTGAAGCGAGAGCAGATTTAGTAAAACCCAATTTGTACATCTAAGTTGTAAAAGATGCTTATGGTCAAACGAAATCTACTTTACCTTTTTACATTAGGTTCATAATTCTTACACCTGGGCGAGATTAGGGTTTAGGCAGCAATGCTGGATGAATGGACGTCGTCTTCGCCCGCTCAATCGGGGCTCAACGAGGTGAGATTGAGCTGAATCGTCGATCGCTGATCCAATTCCTCGCAGGATTTCCAGGCGATTTCACTGTCGAGGCCAGAGATCAAGATCTTCAGCTTGGATGTGCTGGAGCAAAACGCCGCCAAAGGTCACGGGCTTGTCACCTCAGTAGCCGCTGGAAACAATGTCCTGCTCGTCGGTACTAGCAGCGGCTGGATTGTTCGTCACGATTTTGGAGGCGGGGATAACTTAGGTGAGTCTCCCAAAAAATCAAGGAAAATTCACGCTCGCTTTCTTTGTTTCTTCTGAAAACTGTGAGCTTTTTTCCCGTGATCGGATAGAGTTGGAGTTGAGCCGCGGAGCCGACCAATACGTTTGTAAGGTTTTCCTGGATCCCAGTGGAAGGCACTGTCTAGCAAATCTCCGGAGCAGCAGTGGTGCCGAGACCTTTTACATCCATGCGAAATGGAAGAAAGTTCGCGCTGTTTCTCGGCTCAAAGGCGTGCTCGTCAATGCTGTTTGCTGGAACAAGTCCCAGCTAAGCGACTGTAAGTAGTGAAGATTTTCCGCTGCCTGCTTGTGCTGCTAAGGAAGTCGATTTCATGACAATGCAGATTCATCGGGAGAGATTGTGCTTGCAACCGCAAGTGGACAGATCTATGAAATGCTCGTAGAGGAGAAGGACAAGAAGGAGAAATACGTGAAAGTTTTGTTTGAACTTACGGAGCTCAAGGAGGCGTTTACGGGCTTGCAGGTATGTTTTGCGGCATTGTTTCTTCTTTGGCTGACGAAACTTGACTCTAGATCGAGAATATAAGCAGCAGCACTACTACGCGGTACTTCATCATGGCTGTGACTCCGACAAAGCTTTACGTCTTCGTTGGTACGGGCTCGCTAGAGGTATGTTCATTTTGTGTTGTTTGTGAGAACTTTATAACATTTTCATGCTGTGCTCGCAGAGCCTGTTTTCTTCGTATGCAGGCCGTGTTGTCAAGTTCACAGAACTTCCCGGCGAGTTTCAAAAGAGGTGGGTTTTATATACTCCTGTATCTGTTCCTAACTTTCATGCACAGTGAGATACACTTTTATGGAAAACGCTACGCGGAGTCGTTCGCTTGGCTGGCTGGACCAGGTATATATCACGGTGAGCTTCATATCACCACCCAAGTAAGGTGCTAAATTTTTATGCTCTGACTGTTCATAAGAGACTGATCTATGACCATCTCGAGCAGCGAGGACAGTATCGTGGGAAGCAAATGGCTTCTGGAGTACTCAAAGATCAATGAGGATGGCAGTAGCACACGACCTGAGGCGCTTTCATTGACACAGCACCATTTTCTCCTTCTTTATGGAGGGAAACTGAAGGTAACTTCCTATTGAATCGTATCATATGGAGATCTTGAGATGTTTTGACGGTCCCAGGTAGTGAATCGGACCAGTCAGAAGCTTGTAGAAGAGGATTCTGTGTTCGATATGACCGCGCCAAACATGCTCGGACTCTGTGCAGACTATGCTGCTGGGGCGTATTACGCTTACAGTAACACATCTATTTTCGAGGTAAGAAAGTTTGAGGTTTGGTTTCTTAGTTCTCTTTGGTTCTAGATAACTGTACACGACGAGGACCGTGATATGTGGCGAGTCTACCTTGGTATGAAGGAGTATGCTGCCGCACTTGAGCATTGCCGGAACATCTTTCAGAAAGATGAAGTTTACAGAGCACAGGTATTATCTGCGTTTTTCTCCTTTGTAAATAAATTCACAGCTCTATGTGTAGGCAGATGCTGCTTTTGAGGCGAAGAAGTACATGATTGCAGCTTCCTTCTACGCAAAGGTGACCTTTCTTCATGAGCTCTTCCTATCTAATAGAGAACTTTCAGATTACTGGTGTCATAACGTTCGAAGAAATTGCGTTGAAGTTTTTGAAAATAAACGAACAGGTAAAGAACCCGCAAAACATTTATTTGAGCTGAACACTGACGTGTATGTTACTATAGGATGCTTTGCGCACTTATCTCCTCCGGAAATTAGACAGCCTCGGAAGAGATGAACGATCACAAATTACAATGGTGGCGACGTGGGTTGTGGAATTGTATCTGGATAAGGTACTTCAAGCATGAATGCAGATATATAGTCTGTAATTTTTTTGTCTTCCCGATAACAGATGAATCAGCTATTGCTACACAACGACGAAACGCAGTCGCAGTATGCTGGAGTTGTGGAGGAGTTCAAGGCTTTTTTGAGTGATTCTAAGGATACCCTGGACGAGGCTACCACATTGAAGCTTCTTACAAGGTTTGTGTAGGTTGTAACTTTAAAGCTTTTAACTTGTTGTCCCTGTTTCAGCTATGGAAGACATGAAGAACTTGTATTCTTCGCAAGTCTCAAAAATCGTTACGAGACTGTTGTGAACCATCACATTCAGGTTAATTTGTTTATTAAGTGTTATTAACTGAATTCTCGTGCTGTTTACCAGCAACGAAACGCCAAGAAGGCACTGGCCGTGCTGAGAAGAGAGAACGTACCTCTCGAACTTCAGGTACTATACTTTCTTTTTAGTTTTTCCTTGTGCTAATTCTGTGTCTGTTCCCGACAGTATAAATTTGCACCAGCGTTGATAATGCTCGACGCTAATGAGACCGTTGAGTTTTGGATGTCGTGCGAAGGGCTCAATCCTCAAAACTTGATTCCTGCTTTGATGCGATATTCTAGTATTTCCCGGCCAAGGTATGTGCTATCCTTGTATGCCTTTTCTGATTCTCTTACTCGTGCAGGGAAGAGGCTCACCAGGCAATCAAGTACTTGGAGTTTTGTGTGCAGCGACTGAAAAACGAAGACACAACCATACACAATCTTCTAGTATCACTTCTTGTGAAACAGGTACCTAGTTTCTCTGCCTTTTCCTCAATTTTCTTTTTTATCATCACTTTAGGGAGACGAAAAAGAGCTTCTCAAATTCTTGCAAGTGAAATATGGTAGAGAACAGCCTGGGAAACCAGATGTTTTTTACGACCCGAACTACGCGTTGCGAGTGTGTCTGGACGAAAAGCAAACGGAGGCCTGTGTCTTTCTTTACAGTATGATGGGGTTGCACGAAGAGGCAGTTTCTCTTTCTTTGAAGGTTCGTTTACATTGTTGTTTTACTGGATGCCATCCTTTTGATATAGGTTGATGTGGACCTGGCAAAGATGGAGGCCGATAAAGTTGAAGGGGACGAAGAGCTTCGAAAGAAACTATGGCTCTGCATTGCAAAGCACGTGATAAAGGAGGAGAAAGGAACCAAGAGAGAAAACATCAAGAAGGCCGTGGCATTCGTGAATGAAACGCAAGGCCTGCTCAAAATCGAAGACATCCTTCCATTCTTTCCAGAATTCACCCTCATCAACGATTTTCAGGTCTGGCAATCTCTTTTTGTTTCTCAGTAACGACTTAATGACCTTTTGCATCACTTCAGGAAGCAATATACGCGTCTCTGCAAGAGTACAACGCTCGCATCGAAGAACTGAAACTAGAAATGAACGACGACACTCTCAATGCCGAGAAACTGAGAAAAGACATCAATGATCTTTCCCAACGATCCGCAGTTACAACGCCAGACGAAGAATGCGCTGTAAGTTTGTCTTCCTTGTTGATAAACTCTGTTAGTCGAGCTGTGTTGGCGTCACCAGGATTGCCGGAGAAAGATACTCGCTTATGACCCCCTCCATGGTCCGGCAAGTCTCTTCTACGTGTTCCCTTGCGAGCATTGTTTCCACACGGAATGCTTGATCAACTACATGTTGAAAACTGGCGAGAAGGCTGAGGTATGCTCCTGTTTTTTTCGTTGTTGAAAATGCTTCAACTTTGGAATGGCAGAGAGATCGGATACTGGAGCTGAAGAAACGAATGTCAGTGCTTGCAGTGGAAAAGCCTCCACACTCGAAAAAAGACTATCTTGCGGAGGAGGAGGAATCGGGAATCCATCCCTTGGACCAGGTGAGAGTCAAGACACTTCTCCTTGAGTTCTTCTAAGAAATGCGTTGTTTTCGTGAAAGGCTAATGCAGAGATTGCCGAGATCGTGGCTAACGAATGCCCCCACTGTGGCGAGAGAAGTGTTCGTGATTTGTGGAAGCCTTTCGTGCCCCCTCGTGAAGCCGAATATGCCGCGTCATGGGAGATCGTAAAAGTCTAAAACATTCATTGATGGCAAGTGATCTACAAAGTTGACGCCACCATAAACATCACAGTGAGATAATCTTCTTGGTGGCGGAGGTGACGGCGATCGGGCTGCGGACAGTGTGCGAGCTCGCGATCCAGGTGATTGATCCAAAAGACCACATCGATACGGGCAGCGAGTTCTTCGCGGTCGCAGTGATCGTGTAGGAGAGCTTCTGGCCGGTGGAGCTAAACTCGAGACTGGAGGGCTCGACCACGATGCTGGTCGAGGAGGGCGCCGTGATCTCCGCAGTGTAGACACTCTTTGGAGCTCCAACGTTGGTGACGATTCGCTCAGTCGATTGAGGAGAGGTGGTGGTCAGTCCCATGAATCCGATGGAAGGATAGTTGAGGAAAGGTGTGGTGGCGTTGCTCTTTGGCGGCTTGCAACTTGTGTTTGGATCGCTTGATATGAGCCTCACTTGTGTTGTGTTGTATCCACTCTCGCAGAGATATGAGATGTAGTCTTGTGGAGTTATGTCGTAAACGAGGCCTGGATCCAGCGCTTTCGCTGGATTGATTTCTCCGGCGCCAGTATCGAAGGGCCCCGAGGTTGATTTGTTGAAGTCGGAGATGGGGGAATTGGTATTGTCAAGAATCGTTGCTGCAAGCAGTAGTGAAGTTTCGAGTTTTTCTCTTGTGATTTTGATAAAAGAGTTACTCACCTGTGGTCATGAGCGCGGATCTTATAGCAGCGGGACTCCAGTCGGGGTGGACGGATTTCAGTAGAGCTGCAGCACCCGAGACGTGAGGGCACGACATGGAAGTTCCGGATTCGATGTTGTAGCTCGAGAAGTAGGAAATGTTGTTTAGAACGAAGATCGGAGAGTTGTCAGGCCATGCAGCCAAGATGTTTAGTCCTGGAGCAGTAACATCAGGCTGCCAGTACATATACGTATCAGCAAAAAGAGGTTTTTGAGCTTCAAATGATCACCTTGACTATGTCTGGTGACACCGCGTTTGGTCCTCGGGAGGAGAAGCTTGCAACAACAGGTGCCGGGGTCACATTCGACAAGGTTGTGCTTTTCAGGATCGTTGCTGTGGGATTTCTGCAATTCCCCAAGTTTTAGCTGCTTGTTTCAATGAGAAAGAAACAAGTCTGGCTTACTTTGTGGAGCTTATGTAGGACTCTATTTGTTTTCCCACGCTTTCGTGCACGAGCGTTGTTGGAATAGTGAAAGCGAAGAGAATCTCTGCGTAGAAATCCCCACTTAATATCACACCGGTCGCGTTTGGGACTGCTGCTAAACTGAATCCAACGTCGGGATCAAAAATGCAGTAGACGATGTTGCCTTTGACCTTCGCGGCGTCGACGTAGCCCGCCACGCAGCGGCTGCAGGATGATAACTTCGAAAAACGTTTTTCTCCTGAAAAACTTCCACCACGAACCTGGCATAGAACTTGGAAGATCCGTTCGTAGCTATGTTTCCAGCGGAGACCAAACTGTAAGAGCTCTTGGGATCGAAGATATTGAGTCCAGTACCCTGTTTTGAGAATGTTACCACGTCAAGAAAGTAGATCACAAGATATATCTTACCGGGAGGGTGACATTGTTGCCAAGAAGAATAGCGGATTCAATCTTTCTGTCGATGGAGCTTGCACCAACGGTGAGTATCCAGGGAGCAGCATTCGCGACAGATTTTGGATCGGGACCAGAGTTTCCTGCCGAGCACGACACGACAACGCCCTTGGCCACGGCATGAAAAGCTGCAATCGCGATTCCATCCAAGTCATACTGCTTAGGACGTCCTCCCAGTGACACGGACAGAACGTCGACTCCGTCATGCACAGCGTCGTCGAAAGCAGCCATGATGGAATTCTCGGAGCAAAAGCCACCATTCCAGCATGCCTTGTACATTGCGACTCTGGCTTTCGAGTATCCACCTCTGGCCGTTCCTTCGGCAAGTCCGAACAGGCTTGCTCCCGAAACGCTCACTCCCGTGGCTGTGGACGAGGTGTGGGTTCCATGACCAGTTCCGTCTCTGGAGTTGTTAAATTCCTGGACTATTGGACTGCCTGTCGAGATTCCCAGCAGGGAGCGCGAGTTTGATGCGCTTGATGAAGATGAAAGCGGATAAGCACGGCCACCGACGATTTTCCTGGGTGACGAGAGCATGATTAGAAAGCTTAGAGGAAAAAAAAAACAATTTCTGTGAAAAACTTTCGTACTTGGTGCAAGTGAAGAGCTCGGAGGTGTTTGTGATGCCGGTGTTGTTGCACAGGCCCTTCCAGCGAGAAGGCACTGGTCCGAGTCCAGTGTCGTCGAAGCTCTTGGATTCTGGCCATAGTCCTGTTTTGGAGAATCAAGTAAACTCACATAAAGTCGAGTATGGAAACTTGTACCTGTGTCTACGACACCGACGATCACGTCGTATGATCCGGCAAGCTCGCTAAATCCCATCTCATTCTGTTGCGGAGCAACCCCGAGAAAATCCCATGATCGCGTGGTGTGAAGCTGGATCGTTTTGCTGGGAAAGACACTGACTACGTTCGGCATCCCTGGCCGCCAGGAAATCTATTAGAGAAAAAAATAAAAAAGAAAGAAGAAAGAAGTAAAGGATCATGACGTACTTGAGATGATCTCCGCATGTTCCTTTGTCAATCTGGCGGAGAAGCCATTGAAGCTGTGCTTGTAGCTGTAAATGATAGAATCTGATGCCTTCTCCTCGCTGCTCGAAAGTTATCATATTGTCTAAGAGCATTAGCCACTAGAGAAAAAAGCCCCGGTTACCTTCCGAGAACGCTGGTAAGGATGTCATTGTGAGAAGCAGTCAGTACGCGCGACTCGGTTTCTCCTTTTCCTCCCATGTAAACAATGTAGTCCTGTGAAAGTTATAGGTTGCCAGGGTGTGAGAAAGGAAAAAAATACCACAAGAGAACTTACTTTCTCTTCGCCATCTAAACTTTCCACAGTTTTGAGGAGCAACAGCACAAACACTGCAGTGAGCTTCAACATGATCCGGAACTGGAATCCCTCGCAAGAGGCGATCGGAGCTTTTAAACCGAGCGAGCTTGGCGGTTTGCTTACAAGGTAGACGAGCCATGCAGAACTTTGAGCCTACTCGCTGGCCTCTACTCACAAAACCGAGCAACAGTGCCACTGTGCGAGGCGGCAGCGGACTCGTCGACCTGAAACCATCTTCTGTTTCTACGTTCCTGTCATCCTTGTCCTTTTTCTTGGCCACGGTTTCATAGATCCCACTTTTTGTCTGCGCTTCGTCGAGATAATTGTTTGCCTGGCCGTGTGAGCCATCACCTTGTTACCTTTTCCACTATCCCTGCTTGCCAGTACCTACTTCGCCAAGAGCAGTAACCAGGTGATGCCCTGATCAGCTCTGGGAAATGTGGAAGCATCGAAGATGCGCGCAGTGTTTTCAATAATATGAAACATCGCGACGCTGCATTGTGGAATTCGATAATTCTGGGATATGCCGAGAGCTCAGCAGGCAATGGTTATGCTTTCCATGGTAAAAACAGAAAAAACTCATATAACTTACAGAAAGAATTTTAGCAGCCTAAGACGGTATCCAGTTGTTGTCGATATACAACTTGCTGGTCGTATAATGATCTAAAGATTTTGTATTTTGCATCGTGGTATTTCTGGACTGTATTATGTCGAGATGGCTCGACTACCTGTTATAAAACATTTTAGATCCAATATCCGCAAAACGAATTCCATATTACCAATCCAGGTGCGTTCAAGGCTTCCATTGCCTCCTTGACATTGTGAAATTTCTTCGCAGCAACAGCTCCAAGGATAGCTGCCCCCAGAAGAACAGATTCCTTTTCCCTTGGCAAAATCACGGAACATCCTGCACATCGAAACTCGTTACAACCGTGCTAAAGTGATGTAAAGAAAACTAGCCTGTGATGTCTGCATGTTGTTGCAAGTAGACCTTGTTCTTAGAAAGACCTCCACATGCTAATAGTGTCTTGATCTGTCGCAATATAGAATGATAAGTAGGAATCCACAGGAATACGCAAAATTCAACCTGAAGGCCGTGAGAATTACAGTGCTCCACGATATGGCGCGTTCCATATGCTATGCCCTGTATAGCTGCAAGATAAAGCAGAGCCAGACTTCGTGGATCATCATCTAGGCTCAAGCCACTGATGACACCTCTTGCGTCAGGATTTGCCAACGGTGACCTGTAATAGTCGTTCATGAGACCACCAAAAGTAAATGCCGCCCAAACCTGTTCCCGTGAAAATCTGCAAGCAAGTGTAGATTTCTCGTCAAAGCACCTTGAAAAAGAACGTCAGGATGGGAGGCCAATGTATCAAGAATCTCATTCAATAACTCGTAGATAGAAGTCTCTGATAGAACGTATAGCTTATAAACATGATGAAAATGAAGAACGAAAATCAAATTACACTTACTTTGCAGTTTTGCACGTTCAAGGAGCACGGAAGATGCAGGATGACTGGATATAAGATGGTCGATTAGAGCACCAGTTGCGCTCTGGCCACCTTCTGTTAACCAGAATCCAGGAACCATAGCTGCAGTGCGTCATTTAAGTAGCAGAACATCACGTAAAAGACATGAGACATACCTGACCAATACGGACCCCAGACCCCAGGAATAAAAACTTTTTCGGGGGACACAGCCATATGACATGTTGACGTTCCACACACTAGGACCATCCTTTCTGTAATGCTCTCATCTTTTGAAGGAACACCCTCCATAACACCAACGCCGCCAGCATGAGCGTCGATTAGAGCAGTCCCCACCGGAGTGCCTTCCAGGAGTCCAAGTTCCTACAAGAAAAATAATAGCTAAGCCAAAGGCAGTCTTGCTGAAGAGTTGCTTGCCTTGGCCGCTAAAGCACTAAGACCGTTCCCGAGCGGATGGCCTGGGAATGCAACATATCTCCCTGGCAAAAAAAAAAAAAAAAAAAAAACGATGAGGAAAACTGAAGTGCATTGAATTACGTGCTTACCGATTTTTGTATATTGTCCTTCCACCAGGTCGGAAAGACCAATTTCTTGCCAGAAAACGTCGTCCCATCCACAAGCTTCCATTGCAACAGTGTCACTATTCGATTGATGTTGAAGATGAGCATGCCCGAGGTATCCCCATTTGCAGACTGTAGTGCACAAGCTTCGAGTATCATCACCAGTAGCCCTGAAGGAAGCCGAAGTGGACGGCCAAAGTTCGTAAAAAGGAAGGAAAATCGAGAAAAAGTACCTGTATGTAAGCCAGTCACTGAGGTCCATCCACCTGAAAGCAACCGCCCACGACTCGGGAAGATTTTCCTTGACCCATAAAAGCTGCAAAACACATATCGATCAAGTTCTAGACAGCAAAATCGTTTTACTTTAGGAGGTTCCATTTCCGGCGAGAGACCACCACCAGCAAATTGTAGAACGGGTGACCCGGTTGCATTGATCCGCTTGGCTTGATCCACTGCTCGGTGATCCATCCAGACAATGACATTGCGTCTCGCATCACCCGATATCGAAACGGACACTGGATTGTCGTCCGCCCCTATAGCAACTACGAAACAAGCAAAGTAAAAACAACTAAAGTTCTTCATTCGTAGTAAGCTACTTACCAAGAGAACACGTTGCAGCAAATCCAATGCCGCAAACTTCCGAGCTCGAGACAGCAGCGTTCTCGCAAGCCGCCTTGACGGCGGCACAAACAGCATGCCAGATATCTGTGGACGATTGCTATACTCAAATTTTTTTCCCACACAGAAAGGAAAAGGAACAAAGGAAAACGATCCGGTTGAGAGAAAATCCCGAGGAATCCAAGGAAATACCTCCACGAAATCTCCATCCTTCCACATTTGCAATGGACTGCTCGCGGTCGCCAAGAGCCGGCCGGAGTGATTGAAAACACCTGGAAGGATTGATCGATTCGATCGATCAGTATGTTTCAAAGGATGGAGGATCGCGATTCGATCGAAAGACTCACCGGCGCGGGCGCTGCCTGTGCCGACATCGATGCCAAGGTAGACGCTCCTCGCGATCGACAATCCCCTTCCATATCCGCTGCTATTACTAGGGTCCATCGCGCTTCTTCTATCATAACATCTATTCTATCGAATTATAATCCAAGACGAGAGAGATCGCGACCGTTGAGAGCAAACGGCTGAGATCTCTCCACGTGGAATAAGTATTTTAGGGCTTATGGATTCTCGGCTATGGCAAGCGCCACAGCTGCGCCTCCATCTGGAGCGCCTGGAGCACAGCCTGGAGCTTCTCAAAGCCGTGTAAGTGATCCCATTTTCTTTCCTTGAGAGCCCGGCGCCGATCGATCACAGGTCTCTGGAGCTGGAAGTAATCGCTGCAAGGCGAGCCGAGGATGAGCGCGTTCCCGGGCAAGGAGAGGCTCGTGCCCTCCTCTTTAGTGACGATCCGAGGAAGCAGTGCATCGATGGGATTCTTTGTGACGCGGTCCGAAAGAACGGCAATGAGATCGACGAGGCCGAGAATTTGGCGGCGAACGCAGCTCGGCATTTGCGGCGGGAGATCGAGGGGCTTCTTCTTCCGCTGCAAGGCGTGGTGGATGGAACTGCGGCGTGGGAGCAACTCACTGCCGTGGCGAAATTTCGGGAAAGGAGGATGAAATTGAAGAGTAACAGGAAGCGTCGCAAGATCAAGAGGCAGCACGAGGCCGAGAAGAGGAGAATGGTAAGTTCTTAGATTTCATTCTTTCTTTCTGGTTCCCTTTTTTCTCTTTTGTTCTATAGGTAGTTTTATGCTTCGTTGCTTACAATTCTTCGTTGTGTAGGCGGACAAACTTTTCGAGGAAGCCGATCGTCAAGCGGAGGAATGGAGAACTCGTGAGATTGCGAGAGACATTGCTAAGAAGAAGGTATGATAGTTTCTAGTTCTTTCTTTCCTCGTTTCTTGTTTGACAGCAGGTTTGCTCAGATGGAAGAGATGAACAATGTTGCTCAAAAGAAAGCGAAGGAGGCGCGGTTGCGATTGGAGAAAGAGGTCCAGCCTATGTCTGTTTTGCGTACTCGCTTACACTGTTTCCCGTTTTTGTTTGCAGATGGAAATGGTGCTACTTGTTGAAAAACTCCAGGAGTTGCGTTCACTTCGCGTCCAGAAACTTAAGAAGCAAGGTTGGCTCCTTTTCACTCGTCTCTGGTTTGACATGCCCGCTTTTGTGTGTCCCAGGGCATCTGTTCCCAGAAGATGATGATGCATTCATGGAGAGCGTCCGTGCCGCAGTTGAAGCAGAAGAGCGACAGGCTGCCGGAGCTACTGCTGAAGCCTTGCCTGCAAATGCCGAAGCAAGGAATCCCTCCACGGACGATGAAAATACCATCAAGGAAGCACCTCCGCAGCCCAGTAACACGAAAACAAGCGAGGAACCGGATCAACGATTGCCGGCCGACCTCTACCGCTACTACTATGGTAGCAGAATCGACATGGGGACGCTGATAGAGGTTTGAGCGCGCTTGCTATTTCGTACTTATAGCAAGTTTGCAGGTCCGAAGGGGCTGGGACACATATATTGTACCTGTTGGGAGGTACTTTGCAATCTTCTTTTTGGAGTTTTTGACGCAAGTGTGGTGTCATTCCTTGCAGTCGAATTCCTGGTCACTGGGTTCAGCCTGTAGCTCCTTCAAGCGAGGCTTGGGCATCTTGCTTGATAAACAGAGACAACTTGCTCTAAAGCTGGATTCTCCACCATCCCAGATTTTTATGTCAACGCCAAAAAATCGTGACTGTACAAGGATGAACTCCGGGTAAGCATCCTTTGATCTTACATGGATCTCGACATCCAGCCAGGAACCGCCAGTGACGACTTGATTCCCAGGCCCTGAAGAATAATCGCGTACAAAACATGGAGGAGGAACACAAACGATGCGCAGTTCACGATAAGCTGGACAATACGAAGAAAGGTCAGCGTTCGATCTAAAACTGGGGGAGACTTTACCAAGGACGTGAACACAGCATAGATGGTCGGCATTGTAAGCGAGATGTTGATCCCCATTGCCGCCACCATGTACGAGAGGGAAGCATGGGTGTTTATGGTGATCTGCAAGAACATTTGGTCAAGGTAAGGCATACAAATGAATTTCTTTGTACCAAGTTGAGGATGTTTTCCTTGATCAGCCAGGAAGACAGAAACACAAAACCAATCGCTCCAACAGCACGGACCTGAAACTCTAGAACAATGAAAACATGGAGCCAAACGCAGAGAGTTCCGTGCATACCAGTGTACAAGCAAGGATGGAGACGCCCCAGTTGATTCTCCATCTGAGCAACAGCAGCATATCAGAATGGAAATCTAGCGAGCGAGCGATTGTAGTACCTCCACAACGCACCCATCGCAACGCCGAGAAATCCGTGCATGAGCTAGACGAAGTTGTGAGATATCCAAATCTGTGAGGAAGTACTTACGACGTAAGAAAGAGCCTTGAGAGGTCCAGCAATGACAAGAAGAAGCAACGCTGTGGTCACCTATGGAACAAAAGGAAAGAATGGCTTTCGAGCTATATAGCAAAGATGAAAAACGTTGGTACCATTGTTTTGCGACCAGCGGCAGCGCCCCATCTCATCGCGGAGATGACAATAGGAAGTGGAAAGAAGCATCCAAAGTAAGACTGTGGAGTGGAAGAGACGAAGGGTTGAGAAGAGAGAACGAAGAGAGAAGCTTACCTCGAATCGAAATAAGTTGCTAAGGAAATACGCCAAACCCGCGGTCGATGCAAGCATCGCGCACTCGACCAGTCGGAGCGTCTTTTGCATCTCGATCTCGCTGACAGCACCGGCGGCACCATCGCTCCCTGCCTCGAAAGAGATGAAATCCACAGACTGCTGCACCGAAAAGGCTCCAATCCCCTCTTTCCCTGCCCACAATCTTGGAAGCCGAGTCTTGCTCCCTGTGAAAGAAGTAATCACAGTGCTTGTCAGCTCGGGCACGAATCGTCGGCGCTGGAAATGCGTCGATTGAGGAGGAACTGCATTGGCGATGCTCGCGGGAATGGCGATCCACAACGCTCGCATCGAAGAGGAAAATTATACCCTAAAAGAGAGCAAAAATTATAGAACATCTCGCGCCAGACAGGGGTCGAACCTGTGACTTTCTGCTTAGGAAACAGACGCTCTATCCACTGAGCTACAGGCGCATATCAACACATGTCCGCTTTTCTAGCTCTTTCAAATGATTTGCTTTAGGTTTTAAATTTATTCAAAGCATTTGTTTTTGTGGATTTAGCAGAATTCGCCTGGTGACCAGACTTCAACAGCTGGAGCACCATACCTATACACACCAACCTTGCATTTGGGTCCAAGAGCAACAAATGATAAAGCAGTGCATATAGAAGAAGGTATGCAAAAAGTAAAACTTGACCAAAATGATGATCCAAGTGATCCATAAACTACCAGATTTCCATCTTCTTGCATGAGTGCCCAGCAATCAAACCCAAACCCATGAGTTTTAGAGCTCCAAAGTGACTTGCTAGTAGTATATATATAGATGATCAAATTGCAAGTGTAATCCATGAACAATGCAATTACTCCAATTCGTGGATCCCTTCCTAAATGAATTTGATCTCCGGGACCAAGCCTTGAAAATGGGTTGCTCCTTGTACCACTAATAAGTATTGTTGAGAAAGGGTTGCAGAAATTAGGTGATACATTTCCTTCTATACTTAAATTGACTGATTGAAGATCAATCCTACTTGGAGTTTCATTAGTGTTAGTGACAGTTCTTCTATAATTGTGAATTACATAAGAGACTCCAAACACCCCAATATCAGTGACAATTATCACAAGGCCAAAGGCAAGATGAAATAGAAGAATCTCACTAGTAATTCGGTCCATAGTATCTGCAAGTGTTGTGTGGATTATCAAGTTAGAAACTTCTCTAGCTGTAGTTCCCAAAACAATCCTACATTGTGGAGTGAAAGCACTGAAAAAGTAGAAAGCAAGATCAAATAATACTCCTTCAACAGGGGCTTCTGCAGAAAAAGTAGACCCTTCCCGTGTATTGGTATGTTCTCGAAGAGGAATTCCAAGCATCATAATCAATGATAGGTGCTGACCAATTTGTTGTGCTTGATTTGCATTAATTGTTAACAGATCACTACGAAAGTGAAAATAGTGATAAATGATGGATTGAGATGGAAAATAAAAATATATACTTAAGAAAAAGAAACTCATAATACTCTGTAGCTTCATTATTTATAAGAAATTCACTTACCCAACCCACAAATTAAAATAAATTTTTATCAGCAAAAAGTTTGAAAAAATATCTCTACACGTATATCCTTCTAGTTGTGTTGATTGCTATTAGAAATAGTATAGTTCCCTAGATAAAATCCTTTCTTATTTAATATTAAATTTTGTTGTAATGCAGACTACTTCAGCTATTATTTAATATATTATATCAATTTTCATAGGCAAGACTATAGAGTGAGATGGAATTTAAAAAATATACTCAAAAAAAAGAAATTTATAATGCTCTGATGCTTCATTAATCTTTAGGGAAATCTCATAATTGTAATAAATTCCATCAACTAAAGAACTCAAAAGTGACTAGATAAATGTATTTTATTAGTTATTTAACTTGCCATTCACCTTTTTCTTTTTCAACATAAATCATCTATCTCTACAAGTGTACTTCCCTACTTCTATGGCTTAGAAACAGTAATTGTTTTACTATAGCATTATTTGACATATTCAATTTTGGTAAAAAATATTTAATAATTAAAAATGATGATTGATAACCTAAAAAAAAATCAAAATTAAAAACAGTAGGAAGTTTTTATATGATAATAGGTTTCAAGTCATTAGGGATCGGCAATGAGTGGGCTGTAAACTCCTGAGTTTAAACTTCCCGGAAGGTCATCCAGCCGAGTATTATTCAAACCCAAGAAAATTTAACCCCAACTATTCCAAGACCCTTAATCGATTGGAAAAAGGGGTGAACTCTTGTTTATGGGTCTTTTCCCTTTATATTTGAACTTCATGGATTGTTTCTCAAGTCGGTTGCTTACAATTCACCATGCTTCCCTGTAAGTTTATGCTCTCATAAACGGAAGTTGAGAGCCACAACTCTCCTGGGAGCCCCGCTCTCTTGACACCCGAGGCTCTCTTGACACCCTACCTCTCGGGTCGAGCATAGTGGGAGCAAATTAGACTAACTACATGTCAATTAACATGTGGTGTGATTCCTTTAGCTAACCAATAGAGTTGGATTTGAGACCACTCTGATACCAAATGTAAACTCATGAGTTTGGACTTTCCGAGAGGTCACTCAGCTTAATATTATTTAAACCCAAGGACATTTAACCTCATCCCAAAATCCTTAATCAATTAAAAAAAGGTGTGCACTTTTGTTCATAAGCCCTTTCCCTCTATATTAAACCCTCTTTTGTAACTTTATCCTCTTCATTCTAATAAGTGTTTTGGCTATGATCTTCTTGGCCTAAACTCACCTCATTAGCTGTGTCTACAATCAATGGTTTTGTGGCATCTATAAGTGCATTGTGTATTGGAGTTTATAGCTTAAGTTGTGAAATTTTTTTCACAACTTTAATGTCAGAGTTGTTTGTTTGTGTGCCCATCACTTTCTCAATGCTCAAAGAGATTTGCATCGGCATTGCAAGTGTCCAACTTGCTTGAGAGTGGATCTAGAGAGACTTTTCCAGATTCTTAAGCTTCCAATGGATGATCTCATTGCCCTCTTCCTGCAAAACTTTGCACAACCTTCAAGAGCTCATGCAATGCAAGCACCCTGAATGAAGGGAGGTCCACTGTAAATTTCTGAGTCCAAGGGAGGGATAACGCAACACCTGTTGCATTTCTCTCCTTTTTCACACCAGCCAAATCGTTAGTTAAGCCGTGCCAGACCCACCAGTGGAGTTTTAGTATTATAGATATTTCATAGTTGTTTGTGATTGATAACCTAGAAAAATAACATCCGATTTAAAAACAGTGGGCGCTTCTTACGAGACAGTAGTTTTCAAGTCACTAGACATCGGCGAAGGTATGCAGTGAGTGGCCAGAATAGCTGGTGTCGCAGCCTTTGCTCTTTGAGTTTCCAGAACAAGAACCTATCAGCCACGCCAATGTAAGGATCACAGGAACAAATCTATACTTTTGAGCTATGGATCCACCTGTTGATGGTCGAGATCAAATTTGAGAAACTCGTCTTTGCAGCTCTCCACCATATTTGCTAGATGCTTCAAGTTCGTGACACTCGTGCCGTTGAATGCCAGTACCTGGTGAGCCCGTGTAAGTTTCCAGCCAGAGAGCAAACTTTTACCTGTGTGTTGACAATGTCCTCGTATCCAATGTTCACGTCTGCCACTAGCACCTGCAAAAGCAAGTAAAAGATTACATAAAAGCAACAGGAAGGAAAGGCTCGCTCGACCTGAGACACCACCACTAGCTGCTCGTCTTCAGTTTTGGCCATCGAATGCAAAAGCTTGTTCAGCAGCTTCACCGGGGCGTCATAGTCATAGTCCTTGCCATACTGCACATAGAAGTTTGCTCACCATTGAAAAACAGAAAAAAGAGAAAAGAGAATAGCTTCTACCTCGGAACGAAGATATGGCACAGTGATCGCCGCAAACACGACACCCGCCACAATGTAATACGAAGGGGGTATACCTTTTATATGTGCCGGGACCAAGCGCTTGTGATACCTCAGCTCCAAATTGTACTCGTTAACACTTCCATCGCGCAAAATTTTCACTTTTGCCGATTCTCCAGTGTACTTCTGAGACACGAGGTAGCTGAAACTTATGCGTTCCCCGAGACGAAATGGTACTGAGACAATCAAGACACTGATTAAAAACCACCTCTGAAAACCAAGAACCACTTACCGGTACCATCGTTCGCAATAGCCACATCATCGAAGCTCAAGAGGATGTCTGAGTGCCGAAGATATTGAGCAGCTGGAGCGGTCGGCTCGACCCTTCTTATGCGAACACCTTTCTGATTCGGTGCCATCCCGACTGCCTTCCGCAAATCCGGATTTTCCATCTTCTGCCATTCCACGCCAAGAATGGGAAACCCTGCAAAAAAAAACATGGAAAGAATAGAACGCAGCTAGAATCTAAACTACAGGACAGTATTACCAGTGTAGTCACCCGAGCGCTTGTAATCGTTGATGAAATGCTCGATGACCGGTGTCGGAATCACATAGCCAATGTTCTCCACATCTTCGTGCCTCAATGACTGGAACGCTATTCCAACACACTCCCCTCGATGATTGAAGGCAGGTCCACCCGAGTTCCCGGAATTAATGGCTGCGTCGATCTGGATGCTGTTTCAGTAAAACGAGGGACGAAAGACTCAAAGAGTACCTGAACTCCTATAAGCTCCGTTGCTCCATGCACGTAAGACGTAACTTCGATCCTAGAAACCACACCACTGGTAACAGATATAGTGTCACCTCCTATCGGATAGCCAACGACGGTCACAGCATCCTGGAGCCTCGGTAAGCTTCCAAATGTCACGGGTGTGATACCCTCCCAAAACTCATCGTCATTTACAGACAGCATCGCTGATAGAACAAAGAACCAAACAAAAAGAAGTCATGAACACCATAAAAGCTTGGAAACTCACCAATGTCACACTCGGTTCCAATGGCAAGAACGTTGGCCAGATACTTGGTGTCCGAGCCTCGCTTCTTGATCTTCACCTGTGTGTGATGCTCCACCGAGTGAGCATTCGTGAGCAGCCTTTTCCCTTCGATCACAAAACCGCTGCTGCTGGTGCTAAACTGCCGCTTGCGCTGCCAAGGCAGCGAGAAGTTGGGCTCGGTGTGGACGCAGAAAACTTTCACCACATTGTCCATGAAAGGCGCGTCCTTGGCATCCTCGACGATGTGTTCTTCGCGCCTCAAGGGCTCACCGGGGGTGGGCAAAGCCTCCAGCATCTCGGACGGGGACAAGTGCCTCGCAGCTTTCCTCTCGGGGAATCCACCGCAGTCACTCCCACTTTCCAGTGGAATGGCGACCGGGGTCGCATTCTTCTTGGGCCTGCCCCGGCGGCGAGCTGGCGGCGGAGACTCTGCCGGAGCCTGGATCTCAACCATGTCGACATCTTCCTCGGCCAAACCAGAATCTAAAACCTGGACTGGAACATCGCCATTGAGGCTCTTCTCACCGATAAAGAGGGATCCTGCCCTGGAGTTGAGCTGCGCGGCAGTGAGCTGAGTCGGGGGATTCTTGCGCGGCCTTCCTCGCTTCCGTGGAAGAGCGGCAGCGTCGGCATCCGCCATAGCTCCTCCTCGGGCAGGCGTTGTGCAAAACTACCTCATGCTGCGCGCTCTTCCCTCCTCAAAACCCTAAACCTAGGGGTTATGAGAGCTTTTGGCGGGGGTTTAAAAGGTCGTTAATAACGAGTATGATAAGCCCACAAGGAAAAATTACGTGATGTGGCCGCGTAGCGCAGTGGATTAGCGCGTCAGACTTCGGATCTGAAGGTCGTGGGTTCGAATCCCACCGTGGTCGAGCTCTAAATTCTTCATCCTTTAATTTAAGCTAGACTTAAATTAATTAAATAAGTCTTTTAGAAGTTAAACTAATTAAACAAGTTATTAAATGTTAAAGCATCAGTAGTCCAACGGCTAGGATAATTGCCTTCCAAGAAATAGACCCGGGTTCGACTCCCGGCTGATGCAAGATTAGAATTCAAAAACATTTTTTTTCAATATTTTTACTTTATAGTTAATCTAGATGTTAAATAAGTTAAAGCATGTATATTATTAAAAAACAGCTTTACCTTCAAATTCAATTTCAAAATTTATTAGCTCGCTTCCTTCGTTTGACTCCATCCACAAGCTCCGCATCCTCCCCAGCCGAGGAGAACATGTTATACACCAAAACATACGTGCTCGACGCGATCTCTAGAGTGGACGAGATCCCCTCGTCCAGCATCATCACAAATCTCGCAAGCCGCTTCCCTCGCTTGGCATCACCGTGGAGTTTACACGCCGCCACCAGCGATCTCCAAGTCAGGAGCTGCGGCTCGTAAGGCATGCACTGGATGAGCTCCTCGGCCCTCTCCAGGTGACCCACGCGACCGAGAAGATCAACCATGCAAGCGTAGTGATCCATGGAAGGAATCCCTCCAAACTCGTCCTGGATCGAGGAGAAGATCTCCCATCCAGTTCTAAACAAGCCCCCGTGACTGCATCCCGAGAGAGTGGTGGTGAAAGCAATCTCGTCCGGCTGAACACCCGCGAGGATCATCAGCTGGAACATCTCCACTGCACTGGAGCACTCGCCATTTTTCGCATACGAGGTGATCATCGCGTTCCACGAGACCAAGTTCTTCTCGAGCATGGAATCAAACACATCTCTCGCGTTTTCCAGGCTGCCGCATTTGCCATACATGTTGATGAGCGAGTTGTTCACCTGGAGGTTTAGCAAGAAGCCACTGTCTCGCGCGATCGTATGAACCGCTCGGCCCTCGGCTAGGTTGGCGATGGAGATTGCCGCGTCCAGGGCATTGAAAAATCCCACCTTGTCGATGCCAACGCCCTCTAGATCCATGAGCCGGAAGAGCTGGAGAGCTGCTCGTCCCTCCCCGTTCTGGATGTATCCCGTGATCATCGCATTCCAGGAGCCACTGTCGAATGTTCCCAAGCTGTCGAGCAAGCTCTGCGCTTCTTGGAGCCGACCATTGTGAGAAAAGGCAGTGATCATCGCAGTCCACGACACTAGGTCCTTGAGAGGCATCCTCTCAAACATCTCCCGAGCTCGATCCAAATCTCTCTCCTGCGCGAGGCCGGTGATGAGAGCTGTCCACGAGACCGCGTCCCTCTCAGGCATGTTTTGGAAGAGCTCCTTGGCCTCGGCCATCTCCCCGAGCTCGACATAGCCGGAGACGATCGTGTTCCACGACACGACGTTGTGGCAAGGCATTCGATCGAAGCAGAGCCTGGCGTCCCTAATCTGGAAGGACCGAACGTAAGCCACCGCGATCGAGTTCCAAGACACCACATTCCTCGTCGGCATTGCCTCGAACGTCGCCTTGGATTCGTCCAGATGCCCGTGCTGCGCATACACAGTGATCATGGTGTTCCAGGACACTGGATCTCTGTCGGGGATTCTCGCGAACAAATCCACCGTCTCAAAGAACTCCCCCGCCTGTGCGTATGCGCCATGGATGGCATTCCATGTCACGACGCTTGGAAGTGGCATCTTCTCGAAGACCATCCTCGCCTCCCGCAGATGCCCATTCTGGGCATATGCTACGAGCATGATATTCCACGAATAGAGATTCCTCTCGCGGATGCCATCAAACACCGCCTTGGCCTCGACGACCGACCGGCAATTGCCAAACATCTGGATTAGAAGATTCCCCAGGTACCGGTGCTGATCCATGCCGGCGATTCGAAGCTCCCAGTAGAGGCGCCGGCCCTGCGGGAGCAAGTGAATGAACGCGCAGCGCCGGATGTGCTCGGCGTACGAGAGGATGTCGATCAAATTCCGCTGGTCCTGCTGCTGTTGTTGCGATGAAATCTCGGGGCTCTTCCGCTCGATCAGCCGTCGCCGCGCTAGATCGCCCCAGATCGCCCATTCCCCCTCCTGGAGCTCGCCCACCATGCGCTTGAGGCAGGAGCTCCCGCCGGGAGTTCTGTGAAGGTGCCTCGCCGCGAGGGCGCTCCACGGCCGCCATCGCAAATGCCGCTTCATCCATTTCGTGGAATATTCTACAAAACCCTAACCTTGATAACCTAAAGGTAATATAGTTTACTTTGGGTTAAATTTATTAGATTAAGTCTGTAAATACATATATAACCCTGTTTAATGCCTAGGTAATACATTAATTATAGTAATATAACATATGAATTAACTATTTGGACTGAAGTTTGTCCATTTTTATATATAAACAAGTGACTTAAACCTCAATTAATATTTTATTCTCATATCCTAATGGAGTTGGAGAGGCATTATAAATTATCTCTAGAGAGTAAAGTTAGAGTATTTTTCTTAATATTCAAAATTATTATCATTCTTCTTTTCTTTGTTATAGTTTTTTGTCAGATCTAAGATTATAACTATCTAATATATTTTTCTTTTAATCATCATCGCATTATCTTCTGTTGCCATGTCATACTATCAAGAAGTGTGGCATTCTAGATTGCAGATAATGCAGTGTTCTTATCATCTAGGAATGTTGTTCTTATAGCTATATCCTCTTCAAATTACTTTTTAGTTGTGGGGTGTGATCTTTTTGGTGTTGCACCAATCCTTGGTATATTGTCATCAATTTATATAAGACGTGATTACATTACTTCTCCTATTCTTGGTGTACTACATTTCAATAATCCTTGGGACTGCTATGGTGTGATTTCTTTGTTTTGATTCATCAAATTACTGTAACTTTGCATTCATTTCCTATCATTGTCACGAATTCTTTTCTTTACCTTCTTCTTCCTTCTGATGATTCAATGAAACATTTTCAGGACCATCTTCACGAAGCTCTTGGCTCCGAGTGGCTGGCAACTGGGAACTGCCCAATTGCATGCTCTTGTCGAGCAGTAAATGGAGTGCTACCTCTCGTCGCAAAGTGGTTCAAACCACCCTCAGGGATGAAGTACCAGTGTCCCCTGGCTATCGTCGCCACTCAAGCCGCCCTGTTTGCAAAGAACTTGAGGCCTCAACCATTGCCATCCAAACTCCTGGCAATCAGCCTCCTGGGGATGGCAACCAACGTGCCGCTGGGTATCCCTTGTTAATGTGGAGTATGATTGATTGGAGACCTTTGGATGATGTAGTTTGGTTCATTGAGGATGCTTGAGTATATTTTTGGGAAAATGACGTTTACAAATTTGTATAGAATCTTGCTAACAAGGAATTTGATTATTTTAAGGATAATTTTGAATATGAGTTGAATATTTCACAAGGTAAGTGTCAATCCTTCAATTTGCTATTTGATTTTTTTTACCCTTTTATGTTTTCCCAACTTTTTCTTATTTCATAAATTTTACCACCTCTTTATATGTTTTTCTTCATCTATAGTACTTCCTTCTTCTGGCATATTGATCAATTCTTACTTTTATGATTCTTGTTGTTTATATAGTGTTGAGTTGAGTGTTCTTTATTCCCCTCAAATTGATTTAGATATCGAGAGTGTGTATATAAGTGAGAATTTGTTTTTGTTTCATAAACAAAGTCCTTGATTATTTTAGTGTTGAGTATTCTTTTGTTCCAAGGGTTAAATCATTTTTGCCAAATTTTCATGTTGAGTGTTCCTTAAAATTTATAACTACTATTGAGAGTTTTTTTTTTTGTTGAGGATTTCTTTCTTTCCCTTAAGGTTAGTTTTTCTTTGATTTTTTTGTTTCAAAATGTTGAGTTTAATATTGAGGAGGTTGAAGGTGTATAGTCTGAAGCTTATCATTAAGAGAAGGGAAGATAATAAAATTACTAATAATATATTAAAGCAATGGAGAAGCAAAAATATAATTGTATTAAACATTTTAAGTACTTTGAGTGCATGGAATATAAAAAAGGAATACAGAAATGTGCATATCAAGTAACCCAAAAACTCTAGTTTATATATAGGAGCGAGTAGTTTAATTGAAACAAATCCAATGACTATCAAAATTCCATTATACTAATCTTAGTGTATTGCCTTTAATATTAATATATAATATTGTAACTGTACACTTGAACTTCATATCATCCTCTCCTTTGAGAATAAAAGGTAATCAAGGTTGAAATATGCCCATTTTATATGGTCTTTTATTTCTTAAACTTTTTTTGACCTCCTTAAATGCATATTCACTTCCACTTTAATTGTTATCCATCTAGACAATATAAAATTGTATTTTTTTGAGCTAAATATTTTAAATTTTGCTTTGTGCACTGTATTGTTGCAATAGGGATTAAAATTGCAAATTTCACCCAACTGTTTTTCACTATTGAAAGTACATAATTATAAAGATTAATTATAACATTTTCAATAAATAACTATTTATAGTTATAGACCTTTTGGTCATTTCCTTGAATGTTCTCCACAAATGACCACTATATTCAAGTGATAACAAAAACTTCCAATATTAATCCTCAGCACGTATCCTCAATTGGCATCACCTCTTGATGCAACAATTACTTTTTTTTTTTTTAATTTATGATTGTATCACCAAAGGAAAGCAATTGAAAAAGATGATACTTATAATTGATGTAATTATCATATACTTTCATCTAAAAACCCTACATTCAACCTTAACAATCAAACTCTCTTTAATTCCTTTTACTTGTACATCAATTCTTTTATATAGTTTTTTCCTCCTCTTAATCACTCATTCAAGTAATAGATTGAAGCAATTTAAACCACTAATCTATTTGTTCATAAAGTTTAGCAATTGATTTCTTTTAGTTCTTCTCTGATATAATATAGTGTTTACTAGTTTCTTTACTTTTGGGACAAACTATTTAATTATATATACCTAATGGTGAAATACAATTATGCGTTGCTCAAACATGCTATAACACCTATCAGTAGGGTACTTTAGAGTTTAAAATTGTTTTAACAATATTTTTAATGGTTATATATTTATAAGTTTATTAAAACTTTATTCATACTTATGATATATGTTAGTGGACCAAGATGCTTTGACATCCTTCATTTGGTTTTTTTTAATTCCTTCCTTTTTATCTTTTGCTTTGGAAATCTGTCTTTATGGATTTTTTTATTGATCTTTCATTTTCTGGGGGATTTGATAGTGTTTTTGTTAACTTATTTTTCCAAAATAACACATTTTTTTGTCATATCGAAAGGTGATTGATGGATAGTAACTAGCTAAATTTATTTATAAGGAGTTGTTTTTGTCTTTATAGAGCCAAACAATATTATCAATAAAATTATGGGCCTCAATTTATTTCTACCTTTTGGCATTAATTTCTTTTCTTTTTCTATAAGTTGTTAACTTCTCACAATAAAACTGATAATGTACTATCCAAGCTTTTAAATAATATTTTTGATACTTTATTTTCCAGTAATAGAATGATTGAGTTGATCTACTTCCTTTCATTGAGTTTGATCATAATAATTCTTAACATTCTTCAACAAATCACTCTTTATTTTTTATTAACTATGACTTTCATCCTAACTCTTCATTTTTCAATTGGCTTAGGTATTCTTCTAATAATCATAGTTGAGAGCTTGCTTCTCATCTTCCTTATGATTCTAGGTTAGTTGTGAGTTTTTATCAGTAAAATCCATTTAATTATAGTTTTACCCCACTTTAATTGCCATTCAATGCTGAATATTAGAGGAAGATTATAAGTAATTAAATTTTAGTCACTTAACCACATTAACCACTTAGAAAAATATTAGTCACAACTTTCATGTATCTTGGGTATAGTAGTATAGTAGGGATAGAGGTCAAACATGGCTAACCAACTTAAGATGTAATTTAGCTCCCATTTGCATGCCTGTTCTTATTCTGCATTTAACTTAGGTCTAAGCCTAAATTCTATACCATTCTAGTTGATAGAGTACTTATGTTCTTGCATTAGGCCACTAATATAATAAAATAGTGCTAAACTTTATTTAACACCTTTTTGCATGTTAGTTCTATGTTAGAAGCTTTAAGACTATTCCAAGTCACTTTGTCCTTCTGCTTTTTGGGTTGTACACTTCGGAGTCATTTCATATTCCACTTCTTTTGTTCCTTGGCTTCATGCTTAATGGTTTGGTTTTACCCCTTTATTCAGTGGGCCAAAGCCTTGGAATTTAGGTTTTGCTCCCTCACCCTTGGACATATGGTATGTGGCATATCATATGTGGAGGGTTAAGGTTTCACTCTATTATTGTCCTATAGTAAACCACTATAGAGTAAAAGGTGAAAACCATATGTGCTACATTTGGTATCAGAGAATGAGTCTTAGCAAGCATTATTCAATGAGATTGGGCAATTAGTTTTGTTGCATATGTAGAGATAAAAATGATAGTCTAAGTGGGTATATGTTTGGGTGCTATTTCATATTCATTATTTGGATATGGATTTTGATTACATTTTTGTACCATATTGTGTGAGCTTGCTTTTGGGCTCATAAGATGGACATGAGATATTCCTTTTACACGAGTTTGCACTTGGGTTCATAAGTGAGGCACATTAGCAACTCAAGATTACACTTTGAGTTGGCAGAATTAATATTAACTTATTGGTGGTTACTATAAGTGGTTCCATGTTATCGTGGGTAAAAGTAAACCTCCCCTAAATTTGCTATGAGTGGCAAATAAGCTGGTCTATAGCTATTTAGCATAGCATTAGTGGATCTTCCTTAGGCATGATTATGTATGGATCAATCAAAACTATAAGGATTAGTCTATTGGTTTAAGTAATTATTACCATGCTCTTTCATAAATTTTTCTTGGATTGGACTGAAAGCAGTATGCACACAAACTTGAGATTTAATCAAGTTGAGACAAAAAAAAGAGTTATCAAGAACAAAGAATCAATTATGAAAATCATCTTTTTTTCTTTGAGGAATGATTTGGCAATGAAGTGTGACTCATTGCTTATGTTTACGTCATGAAATTGGAGTCCCTACTTTGATGCATGTTGGCTATAATCACCTTATAAGTGGTGAGTCATATGATGAATAGTGGTGAAATGTTAAACCATTTTGCTTAGGCTTGCTATTGGAAAATTTAGGTTGCAATACTCAATTCTTTTCCC